AGAATGTATGGCAGTTTATAATGTGTACTTTCTGTATAATGTGTATAAATGCATGGCTGAATGTACAAGTTTTATTGACTGCTTTTACGGTGTATTATAAATCTTTTTGTTCTATAATGTGACAAACATTTCCTACAACCTTCAGCTTAACTCACTGCAACAAGTCACACTTTCATTAAAAAGTATATTGACAACATGGCTATACCTTAGACAACTCCTCCCTGCAACACCTGTTTACTAGAAATTATGTTTGTAAATTACTAACTAGTTGTTGGGTTTTAAAAATAGTGTCAGGCTCAAACCCTGAGCGTGTGGTTGGGTTAATGCAACAAAAACAGTTTGGTTGAGTTGGTGAAAGATTATAGCTACAGTTTAATAATAATAAACATGTCTTGTCTTGTGCTTCAAATTGCTTTTGACTTTTTTTGAATCTAAACCAGAGCAGGATCTCTTCCAAACCTTGCGACTTTGCACCAGTCGTGGAAAAGGAACTCAAACCTTGTACTTAAGTAAGAGTACAAATAAATAGACTAAAATGTGCTCAACTAAAAGTGAAAGTAGCACTTAAACTTTTCTACTTGAGTAAAAGTATGTAACTACTTGCTTTTATAATATTTACAAGAACAAGTACTTGCTAAGTAAAGCCTATTCCCTAATGTGACCATCACTCCACACTCACATTTACTGTTCATACTGTTTATTATTCAAAGAACGACGTAAAGAATGCTGCAGATGATGACACTGAAAACACATTGTCATATTAACTAACGACTGAGTCACAAGTCACAAGGACAAGGCCTGTTATACAATTCCATTTCAGGTGTTTCGTCTTCAATAGTGATACTGCTGGTGCAGGAGATGGGGTCTGATGTTACCTGCCTGCTCTGATTGGATCAGAGATCCAGATCTCATTATTGATTACTTTTAAGTACCAAAAAACATGTAATGTGTTATTGTATACAAATGGAGTGGAGTTGGAAGTACAGATATTTGATAATATATGTAGTGGAGTAAAAGTGAAAAGTACCTGAAAATAAGTACAGATACATGAAAAATGTACTTAAGTAAATGTACATTGTACATGCCACCTCCAGTTTGCAGGTACGCTCAGTGTTTGCAAAGACAAAAATGGTAATTATTAAACGTTTGCATTATTTCTAAAGTGATAGAATGACTTTACATGTTTTAACTATTTACATTATATATAAATATTGTGTATATATTGCTTTTGTCGAGGGCCTGATTGTGGGTGCTATTAGAAGTTAATCTTTGCTTTTGCAGAATATGTGACTGTAAATGGAATTGTATCTGTTAATGTTGCAGAAGCTCAGACTTCAGCTTTGCATTTGATGACATCAGATAATAAAATGTATATTGTGCTGCCTGATGCCTCCACATCAGGAAGAATCAATAGATTTGTGTGTGTGATACAGCAGCAATGTTGTCTCTTATCATCTCTCTTTATCATACATTCATTTCCTGTGCCGTGGTTTAGTTTTTAATCAGTACAACATCCATTAGACAGGTAATTCTGGATTGAGCTAAATTATTTGAATAAAGCTTGTACGACACTGACAAATATGAAAACTTAATTATTGAGTATTTTGAATTGATTTAGCATTTCAGTTAAGATTTACACACAGTGTTGAAATCACAGTGTGATACTGTTAGTGTTCTTTGTGCCAAAATTTTCCAAATTCAAAACAAGTAGTTCTAAACATGTCTATCATTGATAATAATATCAGGTATTAAAGGGGTAGAGGGTTGAGTTAATGAGTTTATAATTCCCACAAAAACATTAAACTTCTGTTGACTTTTTGATCACCATTGACACCCAAAGTCAATGTAATGTATACATTTGTGCTTGAAACCTGAGACCATAAATGATGAATATGCAACATATACCTTAATATGTACAGCATATAGATTAGTCACAGTATTTTATTCTTTCGAATCTGACATTACTGTTCCATGCTGCTCTATAATCACATCTTCCCTTTATACTGAAATGTAATTTTGACTTGCAGAAAGAATTCAAAACAAATACTCTGCAAACCACTGTCAAAAAATGTATGAATGGTCCCAGTGTTGGTAGCTTGTACAAATGCAATGTGGCCTGCTGGTGCAGTTACTCTAGATAAAGAATGCTATGTAACTGAGTGAACTTCGGGGACTCACAGAAGCACTCCAGCATGCATCAGGCATCGGGCTGCTATCGAGAGGACGCTGGAGGAAAAGAAAAAGTTGAAGATACACCCAGTGTTATTTCATCCACCCAAACCATCTTTCCATCCAGAGGGACCACGTTCTATATCCATGGCGACTCTTTTTTCTTTATCTAACTTGAGTGCTTTCTTAGATATTTCTTGGGCTTTCACATTGGATTTGATGTATTCATTCAAGAAAAGCCACATGAATGTAAGACCTTTTTTTAACTGCACAACCAGGTCTCAGTTGCAGTTGAATAGTATGGACAACACTGATGACAACTGCAACAATTACAACATAATGCTGTAAATGCAAATTAGTTTTACTATTCTTTATTATGAACTTTTCGGGAATATTTTTATGGCAAGTACTGGAAAAAACATTTTCTCGAGGGCCCTTCACCTTCACCTACATTTGGGTCCTCCTGCCCCACATAGTGACAGTTTTCAGTTTATATAGAGGGAGCATTTAACCACCAGCTACTCACAGCGCAATAGATTTTATTGAAAATGAAGATAAAACAAACAGGACTGAAATGTTAAAATAATATAATAACTTGAGCAATACACATAGGGAAAACTTTATATGTGGAGAAAATTGTTTTCTGTCCATTCCACAATCAGGGGGTTGAAATTACTTATGAATTTGTATTTATTTCTGATGATATTTATATGGTTATGTTTATATTTAGTTCTTTATGATTTTCATTTATGATTTTCATTTATATATTTAGTTGCGATGATGACTTTGTGAACTATAAGTTCAATATGCTTGTTGTTCCCCACAACTGTGACAGAAGAAATTAGCCTTAACAAGAACATTTGGCTTCAGTTTCACTGATATAAATTTGCAGAAAAGTGTGGCAGCCACACCCCATTATTCATAAAAACTCCCTTTCCCTATGTTCATTCAGTGCACACACTGGCTGTAAATATATTGGAACAATGCTTCTGCTCAGTATTACTGTGCTGCAGCTAGTCTTGGCTGGTCTTCAGGCAACACGCCCATGGACACCCGTCTGCAAAGATCCACTGAGGAGCAGAGAACCATTGTTAATGATACAGGGGGATTTGACTGGCTCATACTTATTTGCAATACCCCTGGGGCTTGCTGTGTAATGGGTCTAAATATTTGGTCAGGGTTGACAAGAGCAAGGAAGGGTTGTTTGTTTGTCTTTTTGTACAGTCTCTAGTTTGTGCCTTTGTGTGTTGGGCTATAAATATTGTTGGTTTGAACCTTCCTTTGTGATCCCTGGCTCCCTGTGGTGATAACCCACCTGTGCTTACTGCAGATGGAGAGGTGATAGTTACTGGTGGCATCGCAATGACTCAGTGTGATTCTCTGCCCACGGGCACTCACCCACACACAATATGGACAAGACTCAAGTTAGCACTAAAAGCCTATTATTCACTTTTTGGAGGGCAGGAGCATCTATGGAAACTGATTGTAAATGATATCATCAGCTCAAAAGGGTGAATACAACAAGGTCCAATCAAAATCCTAATAAATGTTTGCGCATGTGTGACCCACACAAAAATGTGGTCACATTTTTTTACAATTTTATTTATTATTATTCTTCATGTATGTCTTTGTATAAACATTGCTTACATCCAGTATTAAGTGGTTTAACTTAGTAATCCAAGGCTTTGCCTACTGCTCCAGGCATCAGAGGGCAGTTGAGCACAGCTGCTTTATTAATAGTGTAATCATATCGGGAATGATTGAGTCGGAGCCTAGACGCCAAACACAAACTATGTTCTAATGCTGCAATAAACGATTGAATGTGAGTTGTCTGACTGAACTCACAATAATGGTCCTAGCTGTAAACCCACTGACCATACAAAAGCCAATATGAATAACTAATCCATCTGAGTTTGTTTAAAGCCAGCAAAAGTAAGCAAACAATGCAAGGCAGATAATATGTATTTCATCTTAAAAAAAATATTCATAAAATGCAGGATTCAGATGGATAATCCACAAACAATAGGTCCAGAGTTGACTTCTATGAATATAGTATAGCATTCTGTTTTTGCAGAACCTCTGCCATTGATTCTGACATCACCCCCAGCATGTAATACTGTTTACAGTATATTTCAATATTTTAAGGAAAACACCAAGCAGCTCATAAATATTTCCCAATTATTTTCCCATAGTTTTCTACGGCACACTACCGTTTAATGGAAAACACAATTGTGGGATACTCGGCCCACTCCGAGTAAGGACGGGAGGAGAGAATGGCGTTTGTTCAGTCTTTTATTTCCGTTGCCTTCCTTCGGCAACAACACACACACACACATATATATATATATATAAGTCTCTATCTTAGCGGGGTCTTTCAATCCACGCACGCATACGTCCCTGCGTCTGCCGCTCTCTGTTCTCAGGACGCCAGCCTACTACCAGAGACAGAACCAGGTTACAAGCATGCTTTTATTGATTGCCCTGATCACCTAATTCTGCACAGCTGTCGGATCACCTGCTGAGTCACTCCTCCCTGTTGTCCAGCAGTTGGCGCCCTAACCATACCCCACCGCCACAACAATGTTACTGTCAGAATTTGGCCATTTTCTTACAACAATTCTTTAAAGCAATGTTACTTTAAATAATGTTACTAACATTGGGCATAAATAAGCTTTAACAACAGCATTTGGCTTTAGTTTCACAAATTAGCAGGAAAATATTGCAGCTATGCCCCATTAGTCCTTAGGAAAACTCACTTTCCCTATGTCCACTCACTTTGAATACATAAGGACAATGCTTCTGCTCAGTGGAGCACTGTTTGTAATCAGCCACCTTGATGACATATGTTAAGCTGCTTTATTAATAGTGAGTGTGCGATTCTGAATAGATCGAGCAGACCAACAGTTTCCTCTGCATCATCTTTTCATCTGTTTTACAGGTTAGTAAAGTGTGCAAACTGCATAATGTAAGTAAGCATAGCGATGTGTTTCGTGTGAGTTTTTGGGATGGACCTCTTGTTGTACAGTAGTTGTCAAGTGTATTATTTCACACAGACTGCTCCTGCTCTGTAATATTGAAGGACACCATATTGTATGTGTGGATAATAGTTACAGTATTTTCAGTAAGTGTTTTTGCTCCCTGACCTTTGCACAGTTTCAGTTTTTATGCCTCTGCTCCGGCAGCGGAGGCATAATGTTGTCAGGTTGTTTGTATTTGGCACAAACTTTCACTTAAGATCAAGGATAAACTGATTTGATTTTGATTTTGATAACCAAACGTCAATGTCATGGTTGCCTCAAAACAGACATTGACACTAAAAATAGACTTGAATTGAGAATAATGTGTCAGAGAAAACAAGACAAGCATTTGGAAATGTTTATTTGAAAGACGACCGGACAAACCGGCAAATTTCCTCTGATGGTTTCTGTCATTTCGAAGTGTTCATGTTTATGATAAATTTGGTTTTCATTTGTTATTTAATGCTATCAAAATACGATGAAACATCATTATTGACGGCTGAGATTAATTCGTGATTGGTCAAGCATATATATCTTTGTTAATTATGTATTTCAGTCCATTTCCCATCTACTAACATTGAGGAAGTAGGGTACTTAATATGCATACCTAATGTTCTGTCCACTTGTGTGTACACCGGGGATCAGAGAGAAACAGCATTTCAATCCCGTCATTGTCCTGTACCTATGGCAGAATTGATAACGTTGACTTATGACCTAAACTGTAGCAGCCCCCAGGGTACAGTCAAGTAATTATGATTAGTAACACTTTTGTTAAGCAAATATATCATGTCAGAAGAGCTGACAAATCTCTGACCTCATGGTGGCGCTATATGAAAATTAAGAGGATCACCAAAATCAGTAGGATTCATCCTCTGGGGACCCTACATGTCAACATTAAATTTCATGGCAATAGCCATCCTTTCTTACAAAGTGAAAGGGATATCAGAATCAGAATCAGAATCAGAATTCTTTTATTTGCCAAGTATGTTTGCACATACAGGAAATTGCCTTGGTGTCATTGGTGCACTACTTATGTACATAAAACAACAATATAAAAAACAACAATATGTAAGAAAT